GAGTAACAGAAATTGCAGAGAAGGCCATGGGGTGAAGAGATAAGAATCTGAAAAAGTGAAGTGCTTAAACCTTTTGCACAAAACCAAAGTACTCTTACACTCTATTGTTTGTGTGGATAACTCTTATATGAGTTTAAAATAGATGCAATGGTTGCAGAAATGTATGAAAACTAGAAACAATGTGGATGACTGAATTGAAATCTGATACTGCAGGTAGAGGAGGTATTGAGATGAGGTAGGTTTTGTGGAGGGAGTAAACACAAATAATTGAAAGAGATATATTTAATCTAGCACACATCCAGAAAACATGAAGCAGGTGGAAATATAAGGCCTGTCAAAAGCGCAGCGTTTTGTCAATGCAAGTTATTTATTCAGAATCTTTACTGCTCTGTGGGAAAGTGGAACGAATTAACTATCAAATTACACCATAAAGTCAATTTTTTTTTTACTAAGATTTTGAAGTGGATCATGTTTTACTCTGATTTTGGGATGATGTACAGGAAAATGATAGAAGGGCTGCAGCAGCACTGCCAGGTTTTTTTTATTTTTCATTTTTTTATATTGTAAGGCTGTTTTGATAAAGATTTTATGACTATCAAGAATGGTACAGCCCCGAAACAACACAGCCCCTCTCCCCCAACCGCTGTATGAAAATGAAATGCTTTTGATTCACTTGTGAGCCATACTATTGAAAGAACAAAGGTTGGCTATTTTTGACTGATGCCCTTTTCCCCCTTTCAATACTTAATGATTAGTTGGGCTTAATGAACAACACTTTATACACATTCTATGACTGCATAATTATATATGTAAATTATGAGAAAATATGACTAGTGGACTATAAGTGTCACACACCTAAATATTTATCAAGCCCAGGATATATTGCTTTTTCTTCAGTGCAGGTAGAGTGTACAGTGTAATATAAAATGTATATATTTATTATTTTTTATTGCAACATCAGTATTCCTGTTGCTGTGGTTCTTATTTAGGTAAATATTGTGCCTGTAAGTTGCTAAATTCTTTAACATGTCAAAAATCCTTAGCAATGGCTTTCCAAAAGATCACAAAATTTATGCTATTTTCAGATATGTAGAAAGGCATTTGTAGATTATTTTTTAATTTAAGCCGACTAAATTTAGAAGTCCAAAAATTGCAAAGAATGTGCATAACAGATTTAAAGGTGTGAAAAGATAAATGCTGTATTCACCTAGAGCCAGGTTCAGTTGCAAGAAGGAACATTAGATTCAAATGGCAAAGAGATAGTTCTCCAACTCATGTTTTTTACATCGAGGCGGCTGATAATAAAACACAATCTAAGGCCGGATTAGCCTAACTTCGTTCCATGTACATTCCTTCATCCTCACAAAATGTTCAGTGCAGCAATCCACCCCTGATGTGTGGAGCATCCATCCGTACATCACCTTTTTTTTTTTTTTTTGTCATGTACCGGATTTGCTTTACTCACTCTATATCTGACTTTTTCTTGTCTTACTCGTCTCGTGTTTAAAAATTGTTGCATTTTGCTTCCATCAAAAAGGACTCAATGTTCTTCTGGTGGATGAGTAGAGGGCTTTCCATCATGCTGCGGTGCAATGAAGCCCGTTAGAATGACCTAATTGACTAGAGTACCTAGTATTTGCAAAGGATTGGAGAACACATGAAGGAGTCTTGTGTGAATGAGGTGTCACTTTCAAAGATACTTCAGACAAAAGTTGTATTGTACAGTAAATGATAACCCAACTGCATATGCTTGGTGTGAAGTTTAATTCCCAAATTAACAAAAAATTACAAACTTAAAAAGCCTGGATACCAAGTAAATACGAAAAGCAGAAGCATTATTGAACCACACCGATAGCAGCATGAGAGCAGTGATAAAAAGAAGAGCTGAAAAAAATGATTGGGAACGGGAGCTTGTACAAGGCTAAGTGGAAACAGGTGCTCAAACCAGGAAGAAGAGGGAAGGGAGCTGAGTGGCAAGATAAACACATATGATCTAAGGTGGGTTCCCTGGAGGGTAAACAAGATGAAATGATAAGTATTTACATAAATAGTTAGGCCCTAAAAGATGCTCCAAATTTAGTGTGAACCTTAAAATTCGAGTCTAATTTTTTGGCTGGGCCAGTTTGAAGAAAATGGGTGAAACTGTCTGTGTTTCTATCTTGTTAAATAATGTGTCCCCATCCACAGCATCTCCATTGCAGTGCAATATAAGAAGACTGTGAGACTAGTTTAATGTAATATATGGGATTGTTTTCAAAAGGCTCATCGCTGCCTTTGCCAGAGGGAGTGGACTGGATTGAGTCTGTCTAAATGAGATTGTGGAAGCGAAACTGTAAAAAGCAACAACTGCAGAAAATGTGGAAATAGCTAAAGCTTAGTGTGCCATGATTTGTTCTTTTGGGGTGAATTTGTCTCCAGATTTCATTGTTCTTGTGCAGACTTGGGCAGTTTCCTAGTGGGGGCTGAAATGATTCCTCCAATGATTTGTGTACCATTCATTAAAAAAAATCCTTCTGAGTACCAGTAGTCATAAGATTCCTTGTGGGAAATTATCCGCTTTGAAGTTTTGTTGAAATTTGTTTACAGCGCACTGTTTTTGTGTTATGCATCACTCTCACTTCTGGTAATGATAGAATATACTGCTGAATTTACGGATACTGGCTGCAGTTATATCGATGGGAATGGCAAGTAGTAAAAAAGAAATGCAGGGTAAAAAAAAAAAAAAAAGAAAATGGCCAATGTGTTGAATCATCTTAAACAATAAAGAGCACAGCATTGCAAAACTGAGTTGTTACTTCATAAATGCATGTTCTCAGAGCTTCAGGACACTGCAGAAGGAGACGTCCACTGTCATGCTGAACCAACCATCCCTCTTAGCACCCATTAGAAGCCCCCTGTGTCAGCACGCTATTAATTTATGGGTTTTTTAACCATTTGCTCTTCAAAACCACTCCAGGAAGTTGATTGTACATATGGCACACATCAGCAAACAACAGATATCTGCACATACTGATTTGTAATGTTCAAAAGTTGAAGCTCTGAGAGCTGATACTCTGTAGTGAATCAGCAGCTGCAATGAGTAAAGGACACCTGCTAAGAGGTCAGCATTAGCAAAAGCTATGTTCAAGAACATTGATTTGATTGCCCAGAATTAAGGCTATGCTGCCATCACTTGTGAGGATATACTGTATACTGCTATTCTCATACCATTATGAGAATAGCGAGAGGGGTTCAAACGCTTCTCTTGATTATGAGTCAGCATAATGCGGTGAGGAAATGTTTGAGTTCGTCACATTGTCATGAAGTGTATCCAAATATGATAACCAGATGCATCGAGGCATCTGCAGTTAATGTATATATTTGGAAATATAAAAGCAATCTTACCATCTTAATTGCTGTAATGCCGTCTGTTGTAACATTTATCCTCAACACCTGGAGAAACTAAAGATGTGTATTAGTGATAACATGGCCAAATTATAATGCTACCTCTGATCCACTGTTTTACAGCTTCAAGGTTTTGAAGCTCACTGAGTGCAATAGCTTAGGCTATATAATGCATGCATTAGCATTATGTACAGTGTTGTAAATCCTAGATGCCGCCAGCTTATTCCAGTAAAGTTTGTGTCTCGTAAACATAACACAAAGGGGAAATCACTGTTAAGAGAGAAAAGGCTGTTGCTGAAGTCCACTAGTTTTCTGCGGCTGGTCGAGGCCTAAAAGTATGGACTGTAACTTACAACACTGTTAAAGATTTTCAATCCCTTCATCTATTTTTCAAAAATAGATGAAAAAAAACGGTTTGTTGTAATGTTATTTCTAATATAAACCCTAAAAGCTAAGCTTCACATTTGTCCTTGGTCTAGCAATGGTCCTTGTAAATTCTGATAGGTTTTCTAATAAACAGCATTTTAGATGATTCGAATGAGTAATAATGTGCACTGATTACCAAAAATTATTAGCAGTCTTTATCAGTAGGATCGGAGTAGATCGTAGAGAATCTAAATCTAATTAATTTATCATTAATTAGATTTAGATTCTCTAAAAAGACTTGAAAATAAATGTCAAAAGAGTGGGGAAAATGTTCACTTTATAAATGCAGCTAGTGGAAACATAACACTATGAGCATGGAAGTGATTGGATTACCTGATTCCAATCAATCACATGGGTGATACTGTACAGGTAGGAAAAGATGGTTCCACAAAGAATTAAGTAAGGGGTTATGAATACAAATGCATGTCACATTTTTTTATTTTGACTGGAAAAATGTTAAATCATAACTTACTTCATTCAATTCAATATACTCTGCACTGTATTTAATCAATTGTTTAATCATAAAAAAGTAATGAATTATATATTAAAGTCTGGAGTTCCTATGTGAGTATTAGGATTAATTGTAAAAAGAGGCATCTACATTTTACTGAGTGCTTCTATCAATGTAACATTTATTGGTTTTATTGAAGAACATGTTGCTGGAAAGAAATACAGCCTTCAGAATTGACACCCATTTTTTAATGATTTGTCAGAAGATAAGAATCAAACTGGATAAAATTCCGTTCTGCTGTTATTGATCTCTTCAATACTGTTGAGGGAAAACAACACATTTTCATGCCTGCCAGCCCAAAGTAACAGATGTGGCTCGTCGAAATAATGAAGTGAAACAATGATGCAGAACAACAGTAAAGAATAATTTAGATTATTATCGATTCCCCTTTCCTTAATAAACCTTGCTTTCAGTCAAAGTTTGAAAACAAAATTTTCTCCCAAACTCTAAAAGAAGAGGCACTGCTGTGAAATTTCTGCATGACAGCATGATGGCGTTTAAAAGCTGTCACATTTACTAAGCGGGAATAGTAGAGATAACCTGTATGCTTGTTTACCTGTACAAAGAATTTTGGAGTTCAGTGATTCACCCTGGTTGTCACTTCCTGGGGGCCTTCACTGTAGCAGTGCACTTCTCATTCTCCACTTTAATTCACTCGTCTGCTCTTTGTGTCTTCCAGCTGCCCTGTTTCCTGGGGAGGATAATGGAACGGCTGTGGTTCTCTTTGCTGTTACTGGCAGCAGCATGCAGGGGACAGCCGTGTCCAAAACGCTGCATGTGCCAGAGCCTTTCTCCATCGCTTGCTATCCTCTGCTCCAAAACAGGCCTGCTCTTTGTTCCCGCTGCCATTGATCGACGCACCGTGGAGCTACGACTTCAAGAAAACTTCATAACAGGTACCATACATACTAGCTCTATATTTCATTGATTCTGATAAACATTTACATTTCAAATTACATTTTTGCCAACCTGTTCTTTCTATGGGTTTTGTGTCAACTTATTTTGTGTTGACAATTGACATGTGCTTTATCTCTAGCTTAATTAAACTTTTTAAAGGGGAATGCACATGTCAGCCACTCTTTTCAAGTTAATTTTATTGATGATTAATAAGAAATTTATATCAGTAACCTTTTTTTGGTTACTATGAAACATTCTTTACAGGCTGCAATCACTTGATACATTATTTCCAATTATTCTTTGCATTAAATTTCCATTCAAGAGTCCAGTAAAGCAAAACTCATACAAAGTTAAATAACTTTATATTCTGCAGAAAGATGCTAAGCAGAGCATTTATACTAAACTCGTATTGGTCAATAACAGAGATAGTGGAATATGTTAGGCATTCTTTTCCTCCAAAAAAAGAAAAATAGACAAAACCCCGGGTTTTATTTTACATAGAAATGTTATCCTCAATTTGCACTTCTTTCTTAGTCAGATCTCCCTTTGCATGACCGACGCACCAAAATCATCTGTCAGATGATGAAAAAAAAGAATATGAAAAACTGGAGAAATACCAAGGGCTCTTGGAAGAACTAGAAAGAATAATACTTTGATTTCTTTAAGAAAATTAACCAGCTTTATTTTTTAAACCAGCCCCTTTCTTTTATTAAAGCAGTCTAAATTAACTTGTGAATACTTTTATGTATTATATTCAAGGACAGTTTTACCCACTTCATGAAGGACTTTTCAAAGCTCTGCTTTTTATGTTAGCGGCTGTTAGTTCTGTATTCTCTCAAGATGTTTCTACAGTTCTTTGACTGTTTCAAGGTCTGGTCTCTGGGGGCCCAAATAGTACATAGTTACGATGTTTCCATCTGTGGTTTTATTTTTCTATTTTTATTGAGGTATGCTTTTATTTCAGCAGGCTATTATTTGATATGAAAAAGTAAAGTCAGGGCAAAATAACAAAAAACATAATCAGTCCATATCATACAGTAGATTAAAATCTGTTTAAATAAACTCCCATCCAGTTCCCACAAAGTTGGGAGCATGGAATTGTCCAAGATGTCGTAGTATGCTAAAGGATACCAAGACATCTGAAAGACCATCCTACACCATAATCCCCGCTCCACCAAATCTTAAATTTGGCCCAATGCAGTCAGACAAGTACAGTTCTCACAAAATCCAGACTCTTCCATCAGATTTCCCGATGGAGAAGTGTGACTTGCCACACCAGAGAATGTGTCTTCTCTGCTCTGGAGTCCAGGGTCTGCTTTAAACCACTGCATCCAATGCACTTGGTGATGTATGGCTTGGACAACTTTGCATTATGAGCTTCAGCATCCGCTGACCCCCTCCATCAATTTACCTGGCCTAACACTTTGTAGCTGAGTTGCTGTCCTTCCCAAACACTTCCATTTTTCTTATGATACAGCTGACTATGGAATATTTAGAGGTGAGGAATTGGAACTCACTGAGCTCTTAAGAGCGAACCACTCTTTTGCCAATGTTTTTTAGTACAGTCTACATGCCTGGATGCTTGATTTTATACAACTGTGACCATGGAAATGATTTGATTACCTGATTCTAATTAATGAGGTGGGTGAGTGTCAACAATATACTGTAGTTATATACCTTTAGATGATAATTTTCTGTCTAATTAGATTTTTTTTCTTTCTTTGTATATAATTGAAACCCTTAAGCTTTTTTTAACCTGCTTTTCTAGTAATGACATCCACCTCTCCAGTGAGAGAGGTTTTGGCCTTATCTCCTAATCCAACCAGACGGCACATTGAGGAATTGCCTCATCTGTAAATCACCATCTTTTTCATGATGCATCGTTATCTTAATGTATTTGTTAGACCATGTGATGGACTAGCAAATAATAATATGGTCTCAAAAGGTCTGTCAGAATATGATCTCCATTGAATTCAATTCACAAGTCTATAATCAATATGAGGCAATATTATCTGCCCATGTAACAGAATTACTCACATTGATATTATCCAACAAAAAACAATCCAGGTATAAAAAAATAAATAAATAAATGTATCTCTAATGGGTTTTTGATATTTTCAAAAGTGACAATATTCTAATTATAAAGTAAGAATAAAGAAAATATATCACCTGTTATATTTTTAATTAATAGTGTTTCTTAAAGATAATGAAGTAGATTGATGTTTTCATTTTGCTGCCATCTGATTAAAAAGTTATTTAATAAAAAAATGAGTTTGGTTTTCTAACAATTAATTGGTTTCAAATAATCTTGTTTTTGATGAGCCTCTGTTATTAATGGTGGAGCTAGGCTATCAAAGTGAACTTAATAATTGGCAGTCAAAAGAAAAAGCTTTGGAATTGATTTAGAGAATTCTGGAAATGAGAGAAATGTTTTAACTGAAAAGCATTTTATTTAAGTTGTTTTGCAGATTTGTCAAAAGATTTGAATGGTCCCAGTTGATAGGGAGAGTAGGTAAAGTATCTATAATTGCATTAAGTACGAACAGGATCTGCATGCAGAGCGACTGAACTGTTCCGCCAATACTTAATGCATCAAACTATTGATTTGTTTTCCTGTTTTGCTTTTTGAGGGGGTTTCTTTTCTTTCTGAATTATGGTGAATATATTTTTAGTGTTGGCTTGTTTTACATTCATGTTATTTTACTACTTTCTTGATGGAACTACAAACAGTACTCATGCAACTTAATCTGAGTTCAGATACATCTGTAAAAAGCTTCATGATACATCTCACAATCTCACTATATTTTCTGTCGTGACCACCTAAGCCAAGTCTATTACTGTGACCATAACGTTTTGAAGAAAATCCAATCCTTTTTAGTTTCCTTACAAAGTTAGGAAGTGTTCAAAGTCATCTCAAATAAACTATATGTTGGTTACACACTTCTTGTTTGGACAATGAGTATGCTCAGTCCTTCTGGACCTCCTTTAATTCACTATGACCCTCTTAGTCTAACTTGTTTAGAATTAAATGAATTTCCTTGGATACTTAACTTGTGCTTCTACTGTAATTTGCAGCTGTCCGAAGAAAAGACTTCGCCAACATGACCAGCTTGTTACATCTGACACTGTCTAGAAACACCATTAGTCAGATCCTTCCTTCAGCATTCAGTGATCTACGGCGACTGAGAGCACTCCATCTGGACTCCAACAGATTAACTGTAATCAAGGTAAAATTGACTGAAAAACAAAAATGTTTTAACGCAATCAACTTATATGAATGTCTTAATTAAAGGGGCCTAATTGTATACTTGTATTTTATGACCAGGATGACCATTTCAAAGGTCTGACCAACCTTCGCCATTTGATCTTGGCCAGTAACCAGCTGCACTCCATATCTCCTCATGCCTTTGATGACTTTGTGTCTACTCTGGAGGATCTTGATCTAAGTTATAACAACCTTGACCAGGTGCCCTGGGACACGATCGGGCGTCTTACAAATGTCAATACCTTGAATATGGATCATAACCTTATAGAGAATGTGCCCCAGGGAGTATTCACCAATCTTCACAAACTTGCAAGGTTAGTAAATTATCTAATGAAGTGTATTAGAGTATGTTCTGTAGTGTTTTAATGTAAGTGTTTGGCTCTTCTTTCCTTTTCCTTTCTCAGACTGGACATGACTTCTAACAAACTGAAGAAAATTCCCCCTGATCCATTGTTCTTGAGAATCCCAGTATACGCTAAGTCTAAAGGCTCCCCTCTTTCTTCCCTTGTGTTGAGTTTTGGTGGTAACCCACTTCATTGCAACTGTGAACTTTTGTGGTTAAGGAGATTAACTAGAGAGGATGACCTAGAGACATGTGCCTCCCCTCCGGATCTGAGCGCCAAGTACTTTTGGACAATACCTGAAGAGGTTGGAACTTTCACCTGTTTGTGTACAACAAAATATGTACATTAATTTAAGATGTCCTCACATTTCATCTCTGATTTTTCTTTTAGGAATTTATTTGTGACCCACCAGTTCTGACTCGAAAGTCACCCCATACTGTTGCTATGGAAGGGCAGCCTGCAAGTCTAAAATGCAAAGCAAATGGTGACCCAGAGCCTGAGGTGCACTGGATAAGCCCTGAAGGCCGACTTATATCAAATGGCTCCAGGTATTTATCTGATGTATATTTCTTTTTATTATGTCAGTTTTCATATATTTGCAAATATGTTTCTTAAAGCTTTTTTTGACTGATAAACATAGATTAATATATCAACAACAAAAGAAGCCAAATGACCCGCATTCCACATGGGTGGACCCCTTCGTCTGTTCCAATTTGCTCTTTTAAAAAAAAACAAAAACAAGGCTTTGGTGGGCTACTGTGTATTCCTGACATTTTGATTGAAAAAGCTTCCTGGATGGGAAGCAAAACATCTTCAAACTTGGAAACAAAATCCAGAGGATTGTTTTTAATATTTATATTGGAATGCCTATGACCTGGATGTCTGAGATCCTTCACCAGCTGAATATATCGTTGCTTAAATGGTACATTTTCTCGTCTTTTCTATTTTAAAGGGTGTATAAGAGAAGTTGGCCTATTTATCACATTATTTCTATTTCTCAGAATACAAAATAGTAAATGACTGGCTAGGAATTCCTCCACCATGATCAATTTATACCTTACTAGAAAAATAGTTAATTTAGCATTCCTCATTTACATTTCATTGTTTTAAAAAAAATTTCTTAAGTTTTTCAAAAAGTAAAAATAATATCTCTAACCGTGGAAGACCATACAACTGAAGGAAAGTTCACTTATTCAAGGTAACTGTGACTGCTGATAAAAACCAATTAATTGATTTCAAATACATTTACCCAGCTCGCATTCTGACTGCCAGTGAACACTACAGATGATAAGGTCAAAATCTCCTCAACCATGAAAACTTTGGGTGGCTAATTTGCTTTGGAATTCTGCATGTTATTATGAAAATCTACTTTAAAACCACTACCAGTATTTAAAACTGTAAGTTTCAATCAAAGCTTTTGATGGTGTCATTTTAAATTAAAATGAGATCTCAGGATGCCACACAGTGAAATGATGCATCAGGCTGTTTCTGGATGTGGTGAGGAAAGGTACTGGCAGTAAAGGCTGGCATTAGCATTAGTCACTGAAACAAAAAAATAGCCATATATAAAATGGCATATTGGTAGGGTAACTCTCATTAGGTAGTTTATGTGTTTCAGATGTGATATATCTCATTTACTATTTTAACAAATAATGAATTTTGGGCAAATGAAGTTTTCTTGCTCCCAATAATAAGTGATCATAACTCATCATTGGGAGCAAAGATACACAGACAACAATTATAAAGCCAACAAAGGCCACCTTTCAAGATGTTTACTGTGTGTTAACGTGTATACATATATGGTGTCAGACCTTTTTTTTTGGGACAATTTCTAACTTCCTAGAAGGCTGTATTTAGCTAGTAACATAGGTCAGGCACTACGAAAAAAGTAATAATGATAAAAAACATGAATTATTCTAACTCTTAAAAATAAAAGCACTCTTCTGTTTTAATGCAATTTGCATATGTTCTAATTGATGTATAATGAAAGAAATGTTTTTAATTCATAAAATTGAACTCACAATAATAACATTGCCTTTAAACAAGTTGAAAGAGGGCAACATTTTGTGTTTAAGGCACACTTGAATGCGTTTTTAGTTAACATAGCAAATACATTGTATCTCTGAATGACATTAAAGGGAAAAAGCAACGGATTTTGTGGATCTCCATTAATCAGGTCTATCATTGGGTTTTATTTAAATATCCATGAAGGTGCCCTGAACTCTTGTTAAATTGATTATCTGTAGGTTCAAACAACATAGGAATGTCCAGCCATTACCTCATTTAGAGAGCAAGGTTATCCGACCCAGTGGTTAAAATATTTTTGAGGAAAACATGTATCTACCCTAGTGAAAAGAAATGAGAACATTTTAAAAAGGTTTGCTGAATTTTGTGTCCATCATCATTGTAAACAGTTAAATTAGTCCTGTGATAATTTATATACGAGTTCTTTAGGAAGAAACCATTACTCCAAAAGCCATCTAATAGAGTCAGATTATAACATGCATGGGAACTGCCAAAATTTAAACAAAACAAGTTCCCTCATAACATTACTCTTGCATGTAGAACAGAAACAAATTGCAAGCTAACCTTTACCAATAAATTGGCTTTATTAAATCTATGTGTATACAACATTGCAATAAAAGTTGTCTAAGTGTAAGTTTTTTTAATAGAGTATTGAACTACTGGTTTTAGTCAATAAGTCTGTCATCTACATTTATTTATGTTGCAGAACTTTAGTTTTCCCAAATGGAAGCCTGGATATCAACGTTACTTCCCTGAAGGATTCTGGAAACTTCACTTGCATTGCCTCAAATGCTGCAGGTGAATCAACAGGAAGGGTGGAGTTAATTGTCACAGCAGTGCCTCATCTTGCAAACAGCACAAGCCGCAGTCGAGATCCTTCTTCTGAGCCTGCACCCTCTGACATTCTGACCTCCTCCAAAGTTGCAATGCCTAACAACGAGACAAGAGGGGCTGACAGGAGGGTATCATTGGTGGAGCTGACGGGAAACTCTGCCCTGATTAGATGGAGCAGCCAAACTCCTACATCTGGAGTAAGAATGTTCCAGGTCCAGTACAACAGCTCGGGAGATGATGCACTGGTTTACAGGTATGTTTATCAGCACTGACTATTAATGATTTTCAAATATGCTAAGATTCTCTTTCATGAATTGTTGAAAAGGTTATGCATTTTATGAAGTTGTGCATCTGTTGTCCAAAATAGCTCATATATATATATATATATATATATATATATATATATTGATTATGGTTGTCATATTCATTCATTACTGGATGTCACAGGCATTTTTTTAGCGGATACTTTGTGACATTAAGCAAATTCTTAATACTTAAAAGATAATAAAAGCACTTGTTTTAGGGATTCTCAGCTGTGACACTGTGCTGAACAGGATTTGATGGAAAGTAGTTAATAATAAATTCTTCATTTCTCCATCTTGAAAAATGTACTGAAAAGTTGGATTGATAGATTAATTTATTAGGGGAAACTATGTCTTTTAGGGCTTTTATGCACATTTTTACAAAAAGTGCTATTAAATATACAGGATGCTGCATGTGTTATGGATGTTTAGAAACTGTTTGGCAGTATTTTCTTGTGGTCATACTTGATCACACAAGGTTATCTCATGGTTATGTGGATTATGTTTAATGAAAGATCAAACAGTTTTAACATCCATTAGAGAGCATTAACGCTGCATTAGCTCAGTTCTCAGAAAAAGGAAAATGAAACGGTCCTGAGTATGTGTACATGTGCGCACTTCCGCTCTTCAGCTTTCCTTGCTCAATATCCATTAAAAGGGGTGAGTTGCAAGGCCATGAAAACAGAAGAGGTTGGTGAGGAGATCTGAAATGAAGGTTTATGAGGCATATATGTAAGGCTAAAGGCTAATGTTATGGATCACATATGATATAAAAACTCATCTTGAAAGTAGAGGCTGTTTTAAGTTAACGTATTTCTTTATCTATGCATGGGTTAGTTAGGTTACATTTTTCAAGAAATTTACTATTTAATCTAAACCTTTCCGCATATATCTTTGATATATATATTATTTAAAAATATGTGCAGTAATCAAAACAACAACAAAAAGGGCTCATTTATGGGAAAGGTGGAAAATGACACTGACTGCATTTACTTTGCGTGTAAAACTTTAAAATATGGTTAAATCAGGTTTCATCATGAATACAACAGAAGCAATTTATGTCTAAATTAGTCAAACAGTAGCTTCTAGATCATAGTACTTTAAAAACTATTATTTATTACCCTCTGTGTCCCTGTTATTTATTTATTTTTTAAAGAAGCAGCTTAAATTAGAACAAGTTGCCGGTTCACAGAGACTATCAATTATTCTGGGATGCTCTGGGAGGTCTAGATCATATAAAACAGTCTCTGCTTTAATCTGCATGTCATGCCTTCTTTACTATTAATGGTATAAGAGCTGTTAGTGTGTGTTTCTGCTCATTTTTTTCATCTGAAAGTATAAAGTGTTAATGTGTCTAAAATCAACTCATGATCTCATGATCCTTTTCATTACACAATTAGTGTTGCTAAATAAAGAACTAAATGATTGAATAAAGGCATAATTTGAGGTAATAGTAGCTTAACTATATTTAAGCACTGTGTATATTGCAGTTTATTAAACAGATTAGGACATGTGTGAATATAAGGGGGAATAAAATGGAAAATGTTAAAACATCGTACAAAATCCTTTTATGATTTTGGAAATATGTTTTTTTATAAGTCCTCCACTGCCTTTGCATCAGTTAACCTCTGATTGTTCTAATCAACTTAAAATATGAGATTTTTTTTCAATAACTTTTTTGATTTCAGTTGAAAGGTCATCTTTAATCACATATCAACATAATTACAACACCCTTTAGGAAGACCATGCAGAACGTTAAAGCTGAAGTCTGTAAGTTTTTAAAAATCACTTTTTTGTCATATTGGCTAAAACTGTCCCTATGCCCAGACAGCAGTACATGTGATATGTAACCTGTGAAAAAAACTGCTTCAATTGGTACCGCCTACTGCCTGTATTTCAATCTGGAAAGAATAATTCGGGACGAGTCAAAACAACCAATCACAGCCAGAGGAGCGTCTGATGGAGTGTCAATCACAGCTCACACACGCTCACACACAGGACAGCACTTTTTTATGTATATATATATATATATATATATATATATATATATATATATATATATATATATATATATATATATATATATATATATATATATATATATATATATATATATATATATATATATATATATATATATATATATATTTGTGTGTGTCTCTATGTCCAAAAAATCAGCTTTGGAGTTTGTTCAGCCTTTAGAAGTAGTGATTAATGGTGATGGCAGATTTTTAAGGCAAGTGTTTTTCTTAAGGCTAGAAATAAAAACACTTTAATACTCCATGCTGCAAAAGGTATTATTTCATCATATGTATGTCTATAGTTAACTTTGAAAGGCTTAAAGATGCCCAAATAATAGCTCCTTGAATCCAACCTAGTTTGAGTCATTCTTTTGATGTTGGACAGACATTTGTCTTAAGATGACTTTGGTTTATAGTATGTTTAGTCGGGTCAGTGGTGTGGTAGTTTAAATCTTTGACTTCAATTCAAGAGGATTCAGGGGTTCAAATCCCTTTTGTAGCAGGAAAGACAAAACTGTAAAAGCTTAAAAGCTCTGCAAAGTACTGTATGTGTCCAGGTTGTAGTGACTTGTTGACCCTTTAATAATAGAGCAGCCGAAAAGTCACCTCTTTAGTCAGCTCAGTGAGTACAAGCCTGAAATCTAGTAAAAAATCAGAGTAAAACTGAAATCTGAGTAAAACGGGAATCAAAGCTGCTGCCAAGTATGTTTTGATTAAAGTAGCTGCTTTGAAAAACAAATTGTTTGGGGATAAACTCTGTAGACTAGGCATTATTACTTTTTACCCTTATGGGACTGTTAAATAATAAAAAATGGTTATAGTAGGTCTATGACCTGCTAAGAAATCCTAATCTAAAGACAGGCACTTTTTTGTGTCAGTAGGTAACTTTTTATCAGAGACCCCAAAAGTCACATGTGGAATTTCCCTAGGGCCCATCTTAGAGCCCCTTTAATACAATATTCAGAGGCTCCTCCTAACTCCGATTTTAATAAACAACACCATGAGCTACCATAAATATGCAAACACGTATGTTACACGTACAGTAGGTATACATTACAATGCGACTAGGCGACCAAAATTCTGTTTCATCATTGGGTAAAAGCATAAACGAAGTAAAAACTTGAATGTATCAAAAATGCCTTTGTCTGAAGCGAAACAATACTGAAGTAATAATAATTATTGGACCAAATTCAGTGTGTTCCAATGTTAGCACACAGGTTCAGCTAATAAAGCCTAAACCCACACATATAGACAGGAGCAAATTTGGCCTTATACCACCTAACAAACATCTCCCGGATTAAAGCAATAATGTCTCAGAAGGATCTTGAAAATGTATTCATGCATTAAATTTAGTAGCATTGATTACTGCAAAGGTGTCTTCACAGGAGTCTAAAAAAAAATCATAAAGCAGCAGTTATTCCAGAATGCTGCTTCCTGCTTCTTCACCAAAACTAAGAAGGTGGAGAACATCTTCCCAGTCCTTACATTGGCTCCCCTTATCTTGGAGAATATGCGTATTCTCTTAGATATTTATGTTTGTCTTTGAATCACTGGATGGCTTAGCACCAAGTAATGTTACAGAGTTATTGTCAATGTAACCACTGTCCAGACCTCTCAGGTATTCTGACTCAATCTATTAATTATAATCAGAACCAGAGCCAAATATTGAGAAGCAGCATTTAGGCCTGATGCTCCTGTAATGTGAAATAATCTCCCAGAAAGCTCTGAAAGTACTAAAACCTTATGTTACTTTAAATTCCAGATTGAAGATGTATTCATTCCATCTATGCATAAATAGGTTTTCAGACCAACTTGGCTTTCATTACTTTTCTTTTTTGTATTTCTTTCATTATTTTTGCTGCTTTTATGCCACTTCAATATACTTTTCTTTTTCTGTCTTTTCACATACAGCACTTTGAAATGTGTGGCCTCTGGCATGCTATATAAATCATTTTGCCTTGCCTCGTCAACAGTCATAGTTACGATCCCTGATTAGCAAGGTTATGTTTGTCAGTTTACTTCACAGTTTTGAGAAATTATATAGATGTCCTTTTCAATGTGTTTTAATAGGAACATCTAGGCTACCTTTAATACAAAGTCTACTCTTAGTATCGTTTTAGGTTATATTAGGGGAACTTGGTTATCTATTTAGATGTTTTGCATCATTCTAAAATTTTATCCTGTTGTTTTTTCTACTTCTGAATAAACATATTTAAAACCTGTAAAGCTGAAGCAGGTGGAGACTGAAAGATCCAATTCATTTAAAGTAGGTTATAACATTCAAGTTTCTTTCTTAAGGCTGCCTTTGGGGTACCTAGAAAAAATAAACAAAATAACTGGTACTAAAGAAGAGCTTGGTGTGGTGCAACCCCAAACTTTTCATCCAAAGGCATATTTGATATGTTTTATATTTTCATTTACATTTGAAAGAAATCTGCATATCATAAATATTACACCCTTCTGAATAAAGGTAAAAGCCTATGTTGACATATTACTGCAATCTAATATTTCGCTTGCTGAGGTGTTATTGATGTCTTCAGTGTCATTTTGATGAATCATCTTTTGCATGAGCTCAGCGTCTTTAAGGTTGGAAACCTCCTTACCATCGCTCTAAACTTTTTCTCCTGTCAGAAGTGTTATGTTAGATACATATGGACTCTTGTTTGGCTACCATAAACCATTAATATTACTAAAGGTTGGAATATAGAATTGAGGGAGGAAATGGAAATATTTTGGCAGACAAAGTTATTGAATATGTTTTTTTTTTTATTTATATCCATTTTATTTTTATTTTATTTTATTTTTTTGAACAACTAAGTGCATTTCTTTTATTGTGTATTATACCATCAACTTGTTACAGAATGTAAAAACAAATTAACCTTTATGTTGGGAGCTGGAGAAATTCCACCTTTCTCCAGCAGAGTCCGCCG